GTACATCACAGAGCTTTCAGAAAGGCAGCGTGACGGATTTTGCAGGACTCCTGGAGAAGCGCCTCTGTGGTCCTAAAGCAATAGTGCCCAGAGGCTAGGCCTGCGGGAGCCAGGGGAAGACCTGGCTCTTTGGGGTGGATGCTTCCCTGTTTACGAGATCTAAAGCCAGCCTGTTGCCCATACTCACAGTCCTGTACTGGCCCCTGGGGATGAAGCCAGCTCTGCCTGCTCAGATTACGGTCCCTCTGCCTGCTCCTACTTCCCGTCACCACTTGGTTAGGTCAGGGTGCTGCAGGCTCTGGAGCCCCCATTAGACACAGATTTGCCCAGGAGAGTGACTCAAACTTGGTAACCACATTGCATCTGGATGGCTCATAGGGCTGGGTACAGCTTGCAGCTGAGGCAGAGCAGCGCTGCCACTGGTGTGGTATGTCCAGCAGGGCAAAGTAATCTCATCCATACAGAGCATGGCTCCCTTCCTCCCCCCCCCCCCCCCCCCCCCCGCTCCATACTCGCACATTCATGTGCATCGCTGCTGTGCCATTTGTGTGTGTTCTGTCTTTGCCTTTGGACATGGAGACAATTAGCTGGACTTCCCTCCATCGCCCCATGTGAACATTACTCGGTCCAGAACTAGTCCTAGGGCAGGGCAGGTGTGACTGCACTTGGTGCCCCTATTCAGTCCCTGGCTGGTGGACTGACCCACGGAAGGCCCCCTTTCATGGTTGGAGCAGCCCTACACAGTCTCTGCTACCAGGCTGCAGCAGGATCGGGGGTGCCCTCCATCCAGGGAGCAGAGGGTAGGAGGAGGTGGCTGCCCTGGTGGGAGCTCTGGTCTGGGCTCCCCTGGCTCTCACTCTCCCTGGTGCAGACTCACCATGGAGAATGAGGGGAGCCCAGACCGTGCAGCCTCTCTCCTTTGGCCCAGGTCTGAACCCCCCTCCCATTTACCTCCTGGAGCCCAGCAGCCCTGCCTACTGCCCCTTCCAGGGCTGGCAAAAGTACAGGTGCAGCAGCAGAAGAGCCCTCCCAAGAGATGGGAAGGGAGATAGCAATAATTGATTTGGGGGGACGATGATGTTGCACTGATATTGGGGGTTCTGCTTGATGGTGGGGGGTTGGTGATATTGGGGGGGATTGATGCTATTGAGTGGTTCCATTGCTGGGAGTGGCCTGAGGTGGTGATGAGGGCTGAAAGAGCACTGACCCCAATACCCCCGCCCCCCACATGGTGCTGGGGCAGTTGTGCTACACGGAGCACTTGGTTAAAACTTGGCTAAATTCTCTCTCCATGTTTTTCTTCCTTCCTGGATTCTCTGTGCTATTTCAGCTGGATATGGGATTCTGTTTCACTTCATGTCCTATACTCTCAGGCTGTGTGGTGGAGTTGTTAAACAGCTGCCTCACTCCACCCCAGAGGTGGCTAGATTTCAGTGTGGATGAAATGATTCCTGTCGCCAGGGGCGGCTCTAGCTGTTTTGCCGCCCCAAGCACGGCAGGCAGGCTGCCTTCGTACCCGCCGCCGAATTGGCAGACCTCCTGCAGGCAGGAGGTGGGACAGACCCATCACAGTCACACTGCTCCTGTTTGGCTCCGGATCAAACTTCAGTGCCCCAGTAAGCATCCCTATAAAGTAGTACCAGACTCTGGAGTCCACTTCCAGGCGTAGGTTAGTCCCTGCGGCACACAGGACCCTGGCTGGGTGCATACATTGCCTCTGGCCTTGGGTTGTGTTGTGCTGCCATAGAGCCAGCAGAGGGAGCTAGGGCAGAAATAAGGAACTATCAAAAAGAAATGTCGATTCCCTTGAAATATAACCCAGAGAGGGAAACTGCATGGAGGCCTACTGCGGGGAGGGAGGCTGTTTTTTCTGGGGAGGATGAGAGATCATTCCAGACCACAGAAAGGGGAGGCAGAGCTGCCACCACCCAACAGCCACAAATCGGGACAACAAGGAGGCCCCTTTGAAAGCCATTTTTGCAGGTTTAGGTGTGAGAGCTTTAAGCAGAGACACAGGCAGCAGAGGAACATCACAGGGCTGGCCCCTGAGCTTTCGGTTCACACCCTTCTCTGGCAAAGCTCTCCTTCACTTTGATGAGAAGGGCTGGATGAAAACCACACTGCTGAGGCCTTGCCCTACAAACCTTGCTAAAAAGCAGCTACTCTCCCTGCTCAGTAGGGATGGGTGGCAATAGGCAAAGCTCCATGAAACAGAACCTGCTCTTTGCTGACCACAACCTGTCAGTAACGACACCTGAAAGGGCTGCTGGTTCTCTTTGGCCTTTACAGCAGGGGCTGCTCAGGCATGCCATTAGCAGCGGAGAGGATGGATACTGGTGTGGTGAAGGCACAGGGTTGGTATATGTAGAGCATGGGGTGTGGTCCCATCTTCTGCTACAAATGTCAGCTATGACTTTGGGGAAGTTGCAACATCTCACAGAATCCGCTCACCCTCTGGAAAATGGGGGGACTGAAGCTGACCTACACCTCACAGGTGGAGCCCAGATGTTACTGAGATGGGTGTGTTTAGAACGGTTAGTGTGAAGGAGCTGCAGGGGCTACTAGAACATGCCCTGTTCAATAGGTCACCACAAGCACAGGTTTCACTAGACTTCACTGTGTGATTTTCAGTTCCTTGCAAGGGAAGGGAGTAGGATAGGCCCACAGCTATTTCTTCATAACCCAGCTGGTCCGTCCAGCAAGCTGCAATCACATAAGTAATTGCATGGACCTCAGTGAGACTATTTGCGTGAGCAAGACTCTCTCACGTAAGGGCTGCAGGATCGATTGCCAAGGGCTTCCATAGCTCCTTGCTGACTCAGGCTCCCATCACTAAAATTATCACAGGCTAGTTTGCAGGAGAATTCAAGTGACAGTGAAACCCAGACCTTTCAGAGGTTTGGCCTGGCTGCATCTCTGAACTGGGCTAGAATGCTGGGGAAAGGTTTGACAAGGCTTCTTGCTCTAACTGGTTCTCCTTACACACGTAGGGCGAGCTCAGCATCTTGTCCCCGCTCCTCCCGTCAGCTACGACCCTAGGCAACCTGGTTACCACCTGACAGGCTAATGAGAACAGGCAGGGGGGTTGGCCTGGATGTGAAGGACGGGTTGAGATTTAGATTGCAGTTGGTAGGAAACACACACACACACACACACACACACACACTCTTCAGCATTTGCAATTTAACCTACCAGACACACTGCGGCTAACAAACGTCTTTGTAGTAACCAGCCAGATGCACATGCACAATATTCAGAGATACTTTCACAATCACAGACACAATCACACGCACTCACGGGGTATGCTTCCGACTTGCATACGTTCTCTCCCTCACCCAGTGACAGATTTCCACACGCCCGGTGTCACAGGTTGACACTCCCCAGCAGTCATACACGCATTCCCTCTCATGTGTACAAACATGCTCCATGGCTGGGCTGTCAGAGTGATACCAACCAGGAAGCCATTCTCTTTCACAAGCAGCCCCTCCCCAGGCCTCGCTCTCCCATGCTGACAAGAACCTCTCTCAGTCAAACCTGTTGACAGTGCAAGCTTCTGAAACACATCCCTTTGTGCCCAGTGGGGTACGCACCCCTTGCAGAGATGATCCATGGAGCGGCCTGAAAGGCCCATCCCTTTCCATGACCCCCTGTGCAGTTTGTTTCCCAGCATCCCCTCTTCAGCCTGCGCTGGCAGTATGGGAAGGACCCCACAAGTCTGACCACACTGAGCCTCTGTCCATCACTTCTGTTTTCAGGAAGTTCCACAGAGAGCAGGCATGTGGGAGGAGAGCCTGGCGACACGTGGCAGAAGTGAGGCTTCTGCGCAAGGCTTTCTGGGGCTTGTGTCCTGGTTGTGGGCTCAGAGCGATCAGGCCCATACACCGAGCAAGTGACAGGTTTCCATTTGAGCCAGGAGCTGCACATCACAAGCAGTTCTGAGCCGAGCCGAGCCGCTCCACGTGTAATGCTATGGCAGTGCTGGCTCTGGCAGCACGTTCCCATGGCTGGGGGGGCGGAGGGGGAACTAGCTGTGTGTGAATGTGTGGGGTAAGAGTGGTGAGTCATCCAGGCAGGCACCATCACCCCCATAGCAACGCATGCCTGACTCAGCAGCAGCTGACCTTGAGCTGGACCACGTCCGTCAGACGGGGGAGAGGTGGTGGAGAGAACGGAGCAGTGGTTGATTGGGTTTGTAAGGGACTAACAGCACAGAGTGACAAGTCATGCTCAGGGAAGGGGAAAACTAAAACTGGGGCTGAGGTGAAAGGGGGGGGTAGCCATGCACTTCTCCCCCTGCAGGACTCTAACATGACACCCTATTTATTTTCCTGTGCGACAGTGTAGTACAGTGCACATACATCACCAGCCACAAGATGTGAGTTCTCAGATGAGATTCCAAAGCACCTGCTCCCTGAGGCGTTCAGAGGAGGGTTTGTAGCATTACCTCCATGTTACATGTGGGGAAACTGAGGAAACGAAAGCACTTGCCCAAAATGACACAGTGACTCCATAGCAGAGCTGGGAACAGAACCCAGAAAAATCCTGGCTTCCAGACCCTTGCTCTCACCATTAGTTCCCATTCCCTCTCAGAGCTGGGAATAGTACCCAGGAGTCCTGGCTCACAGTCCCCTGCTACTAGATCATTCTCCCCTTAGAGAAAATTCCTGTCGATTTCACAGGCATTAAACCAATAGGATTCTGTACAAACTACTGAAAACCCTATTGGATTCCATAAGGAATGATTTCCTCTCTAGGGGGTTTGAACCATCCTGGAGAATTCTAGGGCAGGGATGCATTTCTCTTAAATGCCATAGGATGGTTTAAAAGGGGTAGGGGCTAGAAAAAGTTCTCCTTTCCTATTCAAGTCTACAGGATGTTTCCATAATGGTACTTCCCAGAGCTGGGAACAGAGACTCCCAGGCCCCCTGCCCTGCCCACTAGATCATACTCCTACCTCTCTCATTGCTAGAATAGAACTCAGGAGTCCTGACTCCCAGAGCCCCTGCTCTCCCCTCCCTCTCTGCTATAGAGAAGCTTATGCTCTGACAGCCAAGGCCGGCACCATGCGTTACAAGAAAAGCGTCTCAATAGCCTTTGTGGAGTACGGACAGGAATGGTCAGGAAGGCAAGTGTGCTGCGGAGAATGGAGGCGAGCAATAATTGCCCAGGCTTCTCCCACCAGTTCCTGTCAGTACGGAGAATGGTGCATCCGGCTCAGGAAAGCAATGACCCAGTTCCCCAGCCGGGACCCCTTCAGCCGCAGGAAGAGTTCATATAAGTTGATCTGCCACAGGCTCAGAGCTTCTAAGAGAGAGATCTTGGCCGTTCTGTACAGGGAGTGAGACTTGCTCCTCTGATACCTGGGCAAGGGAGAGAAACAGCTGCATTAATCTCCCAGGACACAGCCCAGCAGCAGGGTAAATCTTGGATCTTAGATCTTGAAGACCAGGAACCCCCCTCTCCCCCGCCCTCAGGTGCCAATTGTCAGCCAGGATCCCCACCTCTGAGGGATCCCAGTTGGCTGGTAGGTCAGGGTTTCCTGGGTTAAATGCTCCCCAGAGAGGAACGGTCCCTCCCAGCAAAAATGGGAGAGAGGAGAAAGGCTGTGCAAGTGCAATGAGCTTGAGATCAGGAGTTCAGAACTCCAGGTTTCTGTTTCCACAGCTGGTGCTGACTTGTCTTGGCCTTCCCTGTTCTATGGCCTCAATCTACCCATCTGGACAGTGGGGCGATAGCACCTCCCTTCCCCCCTCCCAGGGACATTATTGCATTAGTCAGAGTGTTTGACATTGCAGGGGGCTATCCAGGTGCTAACTATAATTATCAATAATAATAGTTAATGATGAGCACTCACCACATGGTTTGTGTTCATGTAATCAGATCCCTAAACAACACAACATTCGACTGGTCCTTATAGAGAACCATCACTGCTAACACTGCACTGCTCCAGGACCTCTCCCCTAAGGCTCTCAACAGTGCTGGGGAACATGCAGCACTGAGAAGTTAAGCAATTTGCCCGAAGTCACACAATAGGTCAGTGGCAGGGCCAGGAATAGAACTGGGCACTCCTGACTCTCCTGGCTCTTGTAAACATAGTACTGGGCCCCTCTCCAGTAACACAAGTTAATGGAGCCTCACGATGCCCTCATGAGGCAGACACAGAATTGTTATCCCTACTGGGCAGATGAGGAAACTGAGGCACAGAAAAATGAGGTGACTGGCCGCCAATCAAAGAGCAAGTCAAAGTCAGAACCAGGGATAGAACCCAGGAGCCACACCCCCTAACCACAAGGCCATGCTGTGAGACAGGCAGCTGTGAAGTTTGGGTTCTTTTTCCATCAGCTGTTTCTGGTGGGGACATTAATCAGATGTGGGGCGAATTATGATCCCAGAATCAAAAATGTAGTACAAAATCCCCACTGTTTCCAGCTCCCACCCTGTTCCCAGTTCTGTCTGGCTCCAAGTTCCTGCTGAGAGCTCCTTCCCTATGGAGACCCGGGGGTGGGGGGTTGGGGTAGGATGGGGGAGAAAGAAGATGAGATTGAGAAAGAAAAAAGGGGCGGGGCCTTGACAGACATGCTAATGAGGGGAAAAGTTCAGGTAAGACAGGGCAGTTTTAGAAGTTCCAGAGCCGCCATCTCTGCAGAATCTCACTAGGGGACAAGAGACAGGAGGGGCCCAGTGGGGGTTGGGACTCCTGTCTCAGAGACACAGGGACTCACGTGGAGACGGCTCTAATGCAGCAGCGAGACATGTTGAAGAAGGAGCTGGCACTGGCCCGTGTGTGTAGGGCTGACTCAATCCCCCTTAGCAAATCATTGGTCTTCAGCAGCAGCAGCATCTGGCGGGGCACATTGTTGAGGAGCTGGTTGATCTGAGGTAGGTAAGCAGCAGCATTGGTCCGGATCTCCACGTCCTGAGCACCGTCAGAGCAGAGGGGAATGGTGGGGAGAGAGGAGAGAGATGTTAACAGAGGCCTCGGAGTCTACGTCCTGCTGCTTCTGCCGGGCAGACTGGATGAAGTGGCTGCTGAGGAGATTGCGTCTCTTTTCCAGCAGCTAATGGGCTCCAGCCTCCTCCTGCAGAGGCCTGTCTGCATAGGCGACTGGGGCAGAGCACAAAGAACAGGTGGGGAGCCAACCTCACCCACGAGAGCCTGACTTAGTCTGTCCTGACCGACTTCGCAATTCACTCCCATTTGCTGCGTTCAAGCGGCTTCCCAGCCTGCAGCTGGCTGGAGCTCCCGGGTCAGCCACAGGGGGTTGCTCAGTGACTCTGTGCCCCAGCAGCTGGGCAAGTTGCTGCTGCAGGGTTCTCAATGCTCTATTCCCCACTCCCACCCCCATCTGCACAGCGAGTCACATAGTGACCCAAACACCCACTTAAATAAGTCTGATACATCTCAGTCTAGTGCTAAGTAAGGGTATTTGTCCCCATCACAAAACAACCACATTATGTCATCATAGCTGGTGTTTTCTGACAAGGACAAAGTCTGGAATAGCAGATGGTGCACAAGATAAGGCCTCCGGTGTGCCAGCAGATCTGGAGAAGCAGAGGGTGCTGCAAGACAGGATTTAGAAGCATCATCAGAGCTGTGTGTTACATGGTACCTACTGCCACAATGTCTGGTTCTCGCTGCTGCTATTAACCTCTCAGTTTCACCCCAAAACCAAAAGAAAGGAGCTGCCTTCCCCTTAAATGTAAACTCACCTGCTGATGCCAGAGGGGAGCTGTATGGTATTTGTGACCCACCAGAGCAAACCTTAACTCTGGCCACAAAAATCAAGCACCAACCCACAAAGAGTGAGGAATTTCCACCACATAATTTCACAACAGCCAATTTTAACCCTTCTTTGTGAATTCTTACCTGCATATTACATCTGCACAGACACCATTTACCAAGCAATACAAAGCCAACTCATTTTGTCCTTTACCCCTGCCCTCCCCCCACACTTTGCCACTACAATAACACAAACTTCTTACACCCACATTAAAATAAGCCATGTGAGACATGCTTCCCCCCACAAACACTGGCCCACCTGTTACTGCCATACCCCTGTCTGCTTACCTCTACAAACAACATGGTTGCCCATTTGTTCATTAGTGTGATGAAGGTGGGTGCTGGGAGTGTAGACAGATGTACATGAGTATAGAAGGACTCGTGACACATGGACAGAAGGAAGAGGAAGAATTAAACTGGTGATTTTCTAGATTTTTCATGATTGGGTTGATGGGATTTGCACTTAAGCAACCTTGACTTACTTCCTGTACTAAACAACCTCTGTCATTTCCAAGGATTTTTGAGGAGCACGCATCAGTGCTGATGGTCATTCACATGACTAGCAATTAACACTAATATGTATTATCCTCCCCCACTGAGCTCCGATGTCTCCTCTGCCCCTCACCCAGCTCGGTGTGCTCCCTGCACAGCTGCACTCAGGACCATTTTCAGAGAAGGGCTAATTTACAAAGGTTTCCTCTACCAGAGCTGGTAATTTATTTAACCAAGAAAATCTTATGGGAAATTTAACTGACCTGTGATGAGTGCGTGTGAGAGATGAGGAGACTAAATTCAGCCGTTAAAAGTGCATAGCAAAGGGATTCCAGGCCACCTTTAGTCCATCTCTCAATGCAGCCTCTCGATAGGCCTGCTAGGGCAGCCATTAATATTAATGTCAATTAACTAGGTGATTATAATGGAGAAAGACACCACAGGAACACGGAGCGCAAACAGGCCGTACCTCATTGGCTGTGACTGGTGACCGGTCGATGCCCCTGTTGACAGAGTCCCAGGACCTGGCGGTGAGCATGCATGCGAAGAGTGGGTACAGGTCACCTGCCCCTAGCCGTCGGCTGTACTTCTGCACCCTCTTCATATCAGCCTTGATCAGGGACTGCCAGAGCCGGCAATAGTCCAAGCGGAACTTCTCTGTCAGGACCTGGGGAGAGAGGGCCACGTTCCCCAAAGGAAATCAATCAACAGCACCAGGGCAGGGAGGGGGAAAACCTATCCCAACCAGCGGGCCCCTTTAACCACCTCCGTGTCTGATATTTCAAGCTTCCAGGCATAAAATCCCATTGAAGGGTGGTAGGTGCTATAGGAAAAATCCACAAGGGGGATCTGCAAGCCTGGGGTGCCTCTTTAATTCACCAGGGCTATGACTGGCTGGGTGAGATAAGAGGCTCTCAGCTCAATTCTGGCCTGAAGCATACAGGCATGAGTGACACCTCCCCAGAGACAGTGCACAGCATCAGCCTGCTGGCTCCCAGCACCCTCCATACTCACATACCTGGTAGAGCCCATGGTCCAGCAATATAATGTGGGCCTTGCCGGTGGCTGGGCACTTCCTCACGAGCACGTTGCCCGGGTGCGGGTCACAGTGTACGAAGCCGTTCACAAAGATCATTTCACTGTACATCTTCCCCAGATTGCGAGAGATCTGAAAGGAGACAAGAGGCAGTCACAGCACGGGACGGGGCTACCAGCTACTCCACGGTCTAACAACTACAGGGCGGGGAGAGTCTGCCCGCATCATGTATGCCAGGGACTGATGACTACAGGGAGCAGTGAGGAGCCAGCTCCTGGCATGTACCCTGGGGACTGATGATTACAGGGAGAGGAGGTGCTGGCACATACCCTGGGGTCTGATGGCCTGGGGCATTCAGAAATATGGGAGTGTCCATCCACGGGGCAAACGTGGAGGGGGTTGTGGGGACAGGTGTAAAGTGTTCGTCTATGGCATAACTGGAGGGAATTGGCACAAAGGCTAGCATCCATCTGGGTAGAAACAGGGGCACCCATTAGTGGAGAGGAAAGACACAGGGGCAGATGAGGAGGTATATGTTGGAGCAGTCATGGTGAAGGTGTCTGACTGGGGCATCTGCCAGGGCAGAAGTGGGCATCAAGGGACAGACACAGGGGAGGAGCATCTGTCTGGGGATGGATGGGGCAGATCCAGGGTGCACATCTGAGGCAGACAGGGCAGCATCTGTCGCTCTGGGTGGGGTCTGCCTGGGAAAGACTGTGGCTGGTTTCTATAAAGGGAGTGTCTCCCTCCCTACATTGCTCAGTCCTCCTCCCACCCCCTCCTCAGTCCAGTGCTAATCTGATTTATGATGTCTGGGAAGATGAAGCGACAGCAAGAGGCTGTTTAAATCATCCTGTCACGGCCATGTCCCCCCCATGCTGTGGTTGCCTTATCGCAGGGTGATTTTATCACAGTTAAAAGCCTCCTGGGAGTAAGTAAACAGCCCCCAAGCCCAGTGTCTCGCTGAGGCAGGAGCAGCGCCAGGTCCCCCTCCCCGTGCACTTGCGCAGCCCTCAGTAACACATACCCCAGCCCCAGCCTCACAGCTCCCCCGCCCCCCCCAGAAAGTTCCAAAGAGCCCCCCAGCAGGGCACCAAACAGGCAATTAAAGGAAAATCATTATAAATGATTCCTACCGCTCCCCCTGCTCAATGCAGTGTAACCAGCATGCTAAACCCCCTCTCCGCAGGCAGCCTCACTGGAAGGGGAAAGGGATCCCAAAAAAGGGGCAACAGGGATTCAAATGCCAAACACCTCTGCGCAAATAAACATCACACAGTGCTTTGCAGGGATCACTTTGCCAACCACTGAAATGCATCCACCTCTGGGATGGGATGAGGCAGCTGTTTGCCAGCCACAGAGGTACGCTGTGCAGTGTTACATTAGGACAAGAAGCGAAGATCCCCATATTTTGTTGGCTCTGCAGGATGACATTGGAGGATCAGAATGCTACCCAAACTGGAATTCGGAATTAATTAAGACCCCAATTCCTATGGAAAGTGCCTGAATGACTCCCAGTGGTCAGGAATAGACAACATCTTCAGCAGGACAGCTCCCCTATCACCATGCTAAGGAAGTGGGGCCAGTACTGACCCCTAACTATACATGGGGGCATTATTACCAGTATTGACTGAAGGAAGAGAGCACCACCTGAATCACCAACACAACCCACAGCAACAACTAGGTGATACTTAGAGTGATCCAAGCACTGATCCAGATCAAACCTGTTTAGCTTATAAAAGCTGGTGGGATCAAAGTACAACGTGCTGTGGTGTATTAAAAGAGCCAGCTAATAACTGCACAAAGATCAGGGAAAGGCAGCACAGAAGGTCCTTCTTAATTTGTTAATTCATTTAGATGGTGGGAAAGAATCTACACTGGGTTCACAGACCAGCTGGAATGGATCGGGCTTCACCTAGATTACAGAATCAGCTTTTCAATTCAGGACAGCTGGGTTCAAATTCTGTCTTGGGTCCAAAGTGAACTGAATTTTGCTGTCTCAGACTAAACTTTGTAGATTTTGGAGGCTTGGAATAGCCAGGGTTACTGCAGGTCAGGATTGACAGGCATCGGCAAAGCTGTGCATGAGGCCCCAGACCTGGAATAGTTGGGTAGCCCTATAGGTCAGGGCCCAGGGCTCAAATTCCCACCCAAGTGCTAGTACAATGCAGGGAGTGAGACAGAAAAAGGGTGTAAGTGAGAAGGGCAGGAGCCCCAACCGAGTGACTGCTGCCCACATGTGAATTCCCATCCTGAACACCCATGTCCTATGCCCTGCCTTCCTCTTCAAGTGCTGTGAGGACCTACTATGTGACCAGACTAGGATTCCATCAGGAGATCCCCTGCCCCTCCTCCTGTCCCTGTAACTCTCACCTCTACCTTCTCCCCTCAGTGCAGCCCTGGGCAGCCAATGTGGCGCATCGGAGCCTTTCCCTGAGCCTGCTCTAGAGAAGCCTTTGCCCTGAAAGAGTGTCAAGCTGGAGTGTGAGACCAGCTGAGCTGGCAACTGCATAGCACGTCACCCCTCTTCCTGCCCTGCACGCTCAGGCACCTGGGCCTCAGGCCACCCAGCTAGTTGCATGGAGGCCTTGCTGCAGCTAGGCCCTAGAACTGGAATCTCCATGGGCTTTGGAGCAAGTGATAGGAGGGTGTATGTAATGTGTCTGTGTGCGCGCGCATGTGCGTCACGGGGAGCATGCGCTGCATGGCCGTGTGTGTGTTGTTCAATAAGCATACGTACGTGACTGTGAGTCTGTGCCTATTAATGCACACTACTTCCAATGAATGTGGCTGGAATTTCAAAGGGAATTCACTTGTTTGGCCACAGTTGCCTCTTTTTTCCTCACTTTTCACCAATATCCCCATGACCAACCTTTACTGGCACGATCGATCATTCACAGAAAGGGAGTCCCAGAGCATCACAGTCTGTGCCGGGAGTGTTTGAACGCTCATCCACTCAGGGAACACAAATAACAGCATAGTATTTACCTGACCAATCACCACTATGCAACAGAGCCTGATTCTGGAATATTCATGATCAATTCACTGCATATAATTCTTTAAAAAATAAAACAAAAAACCACCACTTGGAAAATCAATTGGAGGAAGCTGCAATCTACCCCCTCAGACACTCCAGTGCTGCCGGCCCTGGCTAAGATGTCCCACCCTTATCACTGCTGACCTTATCCCTTCCACACTGACCCAGCAGCCAGGTAAATAACAGGGAATAAAATGAGATTCACCTTGGAAGAAGGCAGCTAACAGATCTGGGAAAATAGCCCCTGAGAACCTGCTACTCACTGGGAGGGAGAAATCTGGCAAGTAGCGAGGCTGAGAGAGTCCAACCATAGGGGTGATGGTGGACAACAAATTAGATAGGAGTTTGCCGTGATCTATGGAAGCATAGCCCAGGCATGGCATCATGACACAGAGAGGTCACAGCATCCAGCATAGTGAGACCCCAATCAGCACCAGGGTCTTTAGATGTTGCTGTGATACAATAATACAATAATAAATAATAATAATGTGGCCATGCCTGGAATCCTGCATTCACTTCTGGGCACCTTATTAACAGAAAGATGTAGACAAACTGGAAGGAGTTCAGAGAACAGCAGGGTAAATGATTAGGGGGCAGGAGGGATACACTTCGGAGGAAAGATTAACAGAGCTAACGATGTCTAGCTTGGCTAAGGGATGAAAGAGAAGGGATACGATAACAGTCTACAAACATCTGATGGGTGTGAACACTGAGGAGGGAGAAGAGCTACTGAGGCCAGGTCTACCCTAGTGAGCTTACAGCGGCACAGCTGTACCAATGCAGCTGCACTGCTGTAAGATCTCTCGTGTAGCCACTCTATGCCGACGGGAGAGATTTCTCCCATTGACATAATTAAACCACCCCCAACGAGTGGCAGTAACTATGTCGGCGGGTGAAGCTCTCCTGCCGACATAACACTGCCCACACCGGCACTTCTCTTGGTGTAACTTACGGCGATCCGGAGGCTATTTTCCTCACACCCTCAAGCGACATAAGTTATACCGACAAAAGTCGTACTGTAGGCAGAGCCTCAGGGAGTACAAGGGGTGTAACTAGGAGGAATGGGGTGTAACTGGCCTAGTCTGGATGAATATAAGGGGAAAATTCATATCTTGTCAGCAGAGGGAGCTGGGTCTGATAAATCAGAAGGGTGCAAGATTTGCCCCTATCCCAATGGCTTTGCCCTGTGCTGTTCAAGAAACATTTGCAGGATGTGTTACTGAATAAATCCAATTCAATTCAGGTGCCCATGTTGCATTGGAACACGCTGGCAGTAGCCAACAAGTGGTATCATAGCATCACCACGGCACAACACAAACAGCACGATGCCACCACAATAATATGTGACATCACTACAGCCCCATGCTGTGCAAAGAACACAGTTTCAACACGACCTTGCCACTTCACGTGGGAGAGGGGTGAGTCACTGGGAAGAGTCTAGCTGAAGAGATCAGCAGATGGGAGATGGAGAAGGGGAAGGAACCAGATCTATAGAGCCTGCTGTTAAGCGCATCATGGAGGAACATGCTGTTGCAGGCTGTGACACACTCTAGCAATAGATACATGCCAGACTTTGACTTTTACCCCCTTGCATTTGCTAAGTTTATGAACTTCTCTCAGCATATATGATACGGCAATGACCTTAGAACACATGAGCAAACACACAATAACAAATCACCATTCCTAGAAGTCCTGAGCTACCCTACAACAACGGCTGGGCACAGCCTTCCAAGGGGAGCAGCGGGGGGTAAAAGATATATCTGGCTTCAAGATTAAGCTTGATAAGTTTATGGAGGGGATGGTATGATGGGATAGCCTAATTTTGGCAATTAATTGATCTTTGACTATTAGCGGTAAATATGCCCAATGGCCTGTGATGGGATGTTAGATGGGATGGGATCTGAGTTACTACAGAGAATTCTTTCCTGGGTGTCTGGCTGGTGAGTCTTGCCCACATGCTCAGGGTTTAGCTGATCGCCATATTTGGGGTTGGGAAGGAATTTTCCTCCAGGGCAGATTGGCAGAGGCCCTGGGGGTTTTTCACCTTCCTCTGCAGCATGGGGCACGGGTCACTTGCTGGAGGATTCTCTGCACC